AAAAGAACTCTATCGAAGGTGTGGTGAAAATGCCCCACATCGATATTAATGGTAGTCCTTGATATTGCTAATTGCCTCTCAGAGAGCATTAAGTGACATATCAATTGAGAGAGACCTTCACAGAACCATCCATCACTTATTAACAGCGGGGAAATGTGTAAAGTGACTTACCGGGAGTGCAGTTTTGAGTTGGTAACTCCCACTCAAAACCATCTGTGGTGGCTGAGCGACCACACTTAACCATAACAATACGCGGAGCAGGGGAATTGGGAAACAGACAATGGAAAGTCTTTATCGAGAACGAGGGACAAAATGTGCACGTAGATGGAGAGCACGAACGCAAATCTTGGAGTTCTGTATTAGGAAGCCAGCATCCGTTGATGGCATATGTCATTGCGATCGACTGTGTCTAAAATTGTTGAAGTCCATATTGAGACTTTAATTGACTTAAGACACAAAAAGAAATAACGGCTTGAAATAACCGGAACTGTGCATTCAAATGGACAAAGAGCCGTCTACATGGCATGAATGCGAATGCTATGCACGATAAAAACATCTTCACCAGCAGGTTAAATAATTAAGTTCCCTGCTCTCTTCGTAGCTCTCATAAAAAATTGGGACTACAACTTTGCAATCGGTTTCTCGATAGCTTTCGATGAATAAGTTTTATGCTCACGTCTGTAAAGAAAAACCGTATCAAATCAAACACCTGAATAAATGTTGAATCCCGTGAAGTTTGCTTTCTTTCTAGGTACGCACATCTAGGTAGAAGGCACTTGGAATGTATGATATCTGCTCATTCGGGCCGAAAGAAATCTAGAGCAACTCTTGCGAACTGCAGTACGCAGAATGCTTTGTACAACAGTCCCCCTGAAATTAATATGGCGATAAGCCGCCGAAATAACTATCCGGTTGCCATTTCACTTGATTTCTTAAGACAGTTAGGCTAACTAAATAGTCGTGTCAATTGCATCAGGAGTTACTGTGACAATCATGTATTTTCCGAAAACCATTCTTCGCTTCACATATGAAGTCCACCAATAGCTTGGAATATTTGACTGACAGGCCGGCTCTGGGGACCCTACCTGCATGGCACCCCCTTAACGCCCCATAGTAATCTTTAGAGTAAATCTTCTAGTTCAATCTAGTGCACCAATACCCCTCTTCCTGGGCTTGATTGGCGTAGGTTATAAACGTAAAACTACTTGAACAAAACTTACGCTACACAATACTGCGCCTTAGAAAA